ATCAGAACAGCAAACACTGGAGGCAGGCTAAGGTCGGAACGGTTGCTTTTCCTCCTCTTCACTGTGTTCCTCTTCTTTGGTATCTTTGCTCTCCTTTGCCTTTTTTCCTTTCTTTTTGCGCTTGCGATCATCAAGCTCTTCTTGTGACAGCGGAGGCTTCCACGACCTTTGCAATTTCAGGCGTAATGAACAAGGAAGAAAACTAGTTATTAACACACAAGGTACAGCATTGAAGGCACACCATATGAAGAATCCAAGGCGGGTGCTTCGCGCGGCTCAAGTAGAAGTTGAGCTCTGTGTCACTTTTGGACACTTCAACAAACGCTGCGACAAGCTTGTCTCGCTGAGCCTGGGTTTGCTCCTTGCCAGTGACATTTTCACTTTGCATTTCAATAAGCTCACCATTCTTGGTTTCTAGGATCTTGAGCGGCCTCTCCATGCCTTTCAGAAGCCTGCGCGCAACAACGCATTCTCAAAACACACATTTGCTGTGAGGACCCAGCTCCCCAGCTCTTTTGTTCTCTGCGTGGGGGTCCATTTTTTCCTTCACCGCGTAGGCCGCGTCAAGCTTCCGCCCAAGAACCAGGATGAACTGGCTCAGCACCATGAAAGGGGAGCTGGTTGGTGCCACAGTCGGAAAGGCCAGGCGATCTGCCGGGCCTTTCCTTGCAATGCGTTAAGCAAAATGTGTCACAAGCAACCTTGCCAACACAAGCTTGGTGAAAGCATCCCGTGGCAACAGATGGCGCCACGACACAGCAAACATGACAAGCCGATTCATGCATGGCGTGGACTATTCCAAGAATGACATGTCATGGCAACTCTCATCATGCATGGAGTTTCACAACATGACGTCTCAACAGACAGCATGACATGTCATGACCATCCAGCATGACATGGACCATGAACATTCACATGTCATGGCATGACGTTTCATTCATGGCACATGCAATTCATGAAGAATCGACTTCACGCATGGCGCAGCCATGCCACGACATGTCATTTGCCATCCGCCTGTTGGCCATGCTAAAGGCCCAGTTGCCCAATGGGTGTGGCGTTACCGGCGCGTGTGCAAGATACGAGCATACTGCAAAGGTAAAGGTTGGTGGTTCGACTCCACCCTGGGCCGTTTCAGCATGTCGCACATGCGGCCAGGCTTCAGCTTAGGCGGGGGAAGAGCCTCCTGAGGCGACTCCCCTTCCATTTTGAGAGCCCCACGCTGCACGGAGGTGCTTCGACCAAACTTGCGTCCACATCCTGCAAGGTCCCACGCAAGAGGCATCGATGTAGCCCAGCGTCAGTCGTATGTCCTGGAAGGTGCCGTTGCTCTCCATGGTCATGCGAGAGCCCTCCTCCACAACAGTACGCTTGAAACGATCAACACTGATCTCAGCGTACTCCGCTTTCGTCATTGCGCACATGTAGGTCTTGCCACGTTGACGTGCCCACTCGAAGGCATTGTCCGCCATTTCCCTTGCTTCAAGGCAATACGCAAAATTGATCAGTGCAGTTCTGAGTCAAAAGCTGGCTGAAGTACCACTTCTCCATGAGCTCTCTCTTGGTGACGGGTTTCTCGACGCCTGCGCATATGGGCTGGGTGCATGTTTTCATCAAGCCACGACACGCCTTCGTTCTGAGTTTTGTCCTCTCGCCACCTTTTGAGCCTGAGCTCCACCTGAAAGAGGAACTTTTTCAGCTTGGAGCCTGGGCGGCAATGGTGGGCTACTCACAAGCAAGTTTGGTCTTGAGTCAAGGAACGATCCGCCTGGTACATGTCCAAGACTTCGCTCGAGGCCCTGCTGGGGCCACCTCCACTTGGCTTAACATAGCGCCGCATCCTGGACAGCTAGGTGTTGGATGAACACAAACTTGAAAAGATTCGAGTCCCACAAGTCTCACTTAATTGCAGCTTCAATGGCCTGCTCCCCCAGCGTCAGGACACCTTTCCTTTTCAGAAGACCCTGCCGACTAGGTGCAGTGCACTTTGGTTGCTGATTTTCCTGCCTAGCTCCAAGGAGATCTTGGTAGGCTGCGGGGTCACCACGCTGCAGCCTGCATCTGCCAATCATGTTGGTTGCAGAAATCCCCAGTGAACAGTGAAGAGCAGTCAGCCTTCGGTAGCATCGCTGGCAGGCGTGCCCTCCTTCAGATGCTGTTCGCATCAAGCCACGTTCATGAATGCAACATGCATCATGCCAACTCATGGAACCCATGGTTCATGGCATGGTGCGCGTGTGATTTCACCCTGCATGCGTGCAATGTCATGCGTGGCCAAACATGCATGACAATGCTCATGCGTGTGATTTCACTTGAATCATGCAAGACCATGATGGCACGCGTGACCGACCCTGCATGATACAGCACCCAGCGTGATGCATGATGGTATCGACCATGCGTGATGCAGCATGCGTGACGCGTGCTTCATGAACATGCGTGCGATTGCAATCATGCACAGCGTGTCGCGAATGGGCTCAGTAAATACATGAACCTCGTGTCATGCCTACGTGCAAGAGTGAAATGGCCGAACAAACACGCAGTCAGTTAGTTGATCAGGCTTGCAACCAAAGATCTCGCCTCAGTGCCGCTGCTCTCATCTGATGAGTTCTCGCCTAAGCCAACTTGTTAGACGGCAACATACTGATACTCTACCCAAACCCCCTCCCGCAATGCAAGACAGGCGCTTTCGCTGTCCCCATCTCCTCCAGAAACTAGCATTCCCGCCTTGGTAAAGATTTGCCGGATCTCCCAGCTTCTGGGTCAATGTGGCCTCCTTTAAAGCAACCATAGAGCACACCCACAAGGACGCACAGTGGAAGTTGCAATGCGTCTACGCGAGCAAGGTTCTTTGCGAGGCGGCTGAAGCAATACATCAGTTTCCGCAACACGCGGCTGTGCATCTTAACCCTGTCACCTCAGATGCGCAAGGGATCACATGTCACGCTAGGTCTTCCCTGCACTCAACACATATGCTTGGTTGCATGCAAGGCGCTGCAAACTCCCTGTGAACGAGGGATGGTGAGCGAAAAGAGCTGATGCACAGCCTGCTCCAGGGACCCCAAGCTTGGCCGCAGGCCAAAAAACTTCAGCGCCAACCCCGTCTGCATGAAGTTGTCCTTGAGCGCACCTCACGCACAAGAACTTGAGCACAAATAAGTTTTGCCAGTTGTTTGCATGACAAATTGAGTCAAGACGCTTCTGCCAAGCTTGCAGCATGACAAATTGAGTCAAGACGCTTCTGCCAAGCTTGCGGCTCTTGATCACACATAGGATGTGCTTCGCGCCCAAGCTCTGAATCTCAGGTTGCGAAGCCCACTCAGCCGCAAGCATGGCAGCCTGCTGCACCAGCGCCATGCTTACCACTCTAAAAAAATAAGCCAAACCAGCGTTCAAATTTGACACAATGCAAGCGCACATGCATGCATGACAGCACAGCAAGGCTCTTACATGCGTGCAGCCATGAAGAGTCCTTTCCGAAGATCTTCTGGTACGCCTGGTTCACACAGACCGGGCCCCATCGAAGTCCTTCAAGCCAAGACCAGAGATCAAACAGACACATGAAAGCACTCTCCTTGTTGGGCCATCAGAGCTGCAGCAAAGCTTGAGCCCACGAACAAGCTGTGAAAAACGCAGCTGCTGAATCGCGATCTGCAGGCAACTCCAAATTAGCCTTCTTCAAAGACATGTGTGTGTGTGTGAAACATGCTGTGCAGCAACACTGCCCTGGCAATATGGCTTGTATAGACATCAAAACCAGGCAAACATACCATGTTTTTTTACGTTTTTGGTCAGATTTTTTTTTAAAAAAAAAAGCGCTCGAAAAAAGCGCTCGATCAAAAAAGTGCTCGGTTTTTTTTGTGTATCAAAAACTGGTTCGAGCACGTTTTTCTGGCCCACTGGTCCAGGTCTAACCGGTTGTTGAGTGTACTGCTTGCCTTTTCCTCCTTTGTAGTTGTTGTAGTGATAGTTGTTCCCGTAGCCGCCGTAGCCTTTGCCTTTGCTGTGGCTTCCTTTCCCTCTGTGCTAACCTTCTTTTCCTTTACCTTTGTTGTACCATGCTGCTCCAGTGTCCATCGGTGATGGTCCTTGGCTGTTGCTGCTTGATGTGCTTGTTTGTGGCCTGTTGAACGATGATGCTGCGGGTCGTGATGTTTCCTGCTTGCAGCTGTAGGTGCTGCTGCAGTGCTCCTTTTGTCTCAGAGCAGTTTTGCGATCTTGAGTGCAGTAGTGTGGTGTTGTCTTGTTCGTACTTGGCGAGTTGAAACTCCCATGTTGTAAAGCTCTCTTCGAACTTCTGTTCACCGAGCTGTGGTTTGAGTAACCTTGTTTGGTGCCCAATGCTTCGTGTACCAAGTGGCATTGAGTATCTCAGGTGTAGTAGTCGCCATGTCTCAAAGACGTTGCCTTGCATGTTCTGTCTGCAAAGTGTAGACGCTGGTCCATCGTATGTGCTCACCAAGATGTAGTGTAGGTTGTTGCTCAATTGTACCCATTGCTCCGCCACTGCTTGTGAAAGTGCTGCGGTCCCAAGTTGGCTGGTTGGAACTGACAGTTGTGATTGCTCTGACAGTTGTGATTGCTCTGGCTGTCTCAGCAGTCTGTGAAGGTATGCTGTCATCTTGTACTTCCATTCTTCAAATGTGTTGCGCTCTCCTCAAAATCGTGGCCTATCTTGTACTGGTGTGTTCCTTCCAGCTGATGCTCTTGTTGTTGTTGTTGTTGTTGTTGCTGTTGGGCCGCCATTTCTTGTGTATTGTACGGGAAGTCCGAAGGATCTTTCCCAGGTGTTCTACTTACTGCTCCTACAATGGTAAAGCAGGAGCATTTGCGGGTGTCCTAAATGCCTGATATGAAAACCTTTTTAACGATAGTCGCGATTCTCATGTCATGTGCATTGTTCCCAGACTGAGCTTCAGCCCCTGAGGACGTGCTGCAGCGAGAGACACTGCCCTAGCTTGCCAATGCGCAGGATTTCTTTGTGCCGGCTCAAAGTCAAAACTAAGGATGACTATTGAGGAGGCGCAGATTCGGGACACACTGAATTTGGTATGAGCCTGAGAGCAAGTCTTGTTTTAAGCAAGCCAAGTGACGTCGCTGCGCGACACTTGTCAAGACGCCGCCCAGGTCTACGTGGGCCATTTTGATGAGGATTATAATCCAAGCTGAAAGATATTATCGTACAACCCGTTCCAAAATATAGATGTATATTATAGATTGAAAATTGAAATTTAGCGATATCGAAACAAATAAATTGATACTCATAATTTAAAATCGAATAAATTGTGCTAAAATAATATATAAAAAATATATATTTTAAAAAATGAAATCGTGAAATTCGATTGTTACATTTGTGTGCGTTTTCTCGGACCGTTTTGCCGAAAAATCCCGGATATTTTGGAAAATTGGTTCGGGCTGCCCCTGGAAGATATAGTCGCTTCATATTTCTTACAGACCACTTACCTAAATTTGACCGGGTTATCTCGACATATATAGGGAGTAATTTCTCGAAATATTTTAGATATTGCGGGAAAACAGTCCGGGAGTCGTAGGCACCTAAACTTATCCGGGCTATGCCAGCATATGTGCGGAAGACATAATGGTTGAGACATTTCGGGAAAGCGGTCCGGGAATCGCAATTGAAATATTCCGGATATTTCGCGAACCGAAATATTCTAAATACTTACTATTGTCGAAATATCCGGAATATTTCGGATAAATGGTTCGGAATGCAATCGTCGAAATATCCGGGATATTTCGGAAAAATGATCCGGACT